ATGATGGAAAGATAATTTTTTATGACATATTATTTTGTGATTTTTTTATGGCTTACTATAATTTGACTTATTATCATAATAAATGATGATGTATTACATGTTTTTTCATGACACACTAAACTATCACACATTTGTTATAACACAATGTAACAGACCTTACCATATAATACTGTTTTTCTATGCGGCCATTTCTGTGGACATACTCTACTGAATTTCTTTTAATGCAGTTTTTACTAAATTACTTGCATTTTCATGACTTTCAAAATTAAATAATTAAATAATAATAAATAAAATAAAATAATAATAATTAATTAAATAATAATTAAAATACCATAACATGGCATAGTATACTATGCCAGGTTATGGTATTTTAAGCGATATTTTAAATGGCATTATACATATCAATTTTAATGACATTATGACGTGTGTATTAAATGAATGAAATGATCTGCAGGGATATATTCTGGGAGGTAGCTGTCTATCTGTGTGCAGTAGAGATTTTACAGTTTGAGAAGAGAGAGGGCTCTGCTTAGTTATTGAAGCATGGCAGCTCATTAGTGTGGCAGCGCTACAGACCAACTACACTTCCCCTCTTCTGTCAGGGCTGCCCTCCTGCTGCCCTTTTCTCAGAGAGATCTTTCTGGGTGCCCTTGTACACTTCACGGTGATCCATTACTGGGCAGAGGGCATTTGTGAAAGCAGTAACAGGAAATCACTGCCTGTGCTGCTAGACAACACCCCATTAAAGTCCTTTCTTTCTTCATGATTTCATGTTAACTCGTTTAAGTATCACTGTGTGAGTGGGACGGTATAGCTAAGCTGTACTCAAAGTCCTTCAAGGAGTAAAAATAGTCTCAGACTTATAGAATAGAATAATATTACTGCGGCACAGACAAGTGATGAGTTTTTGTCTTCCTGCTTCTCTTTCTCATTTTAAGTTTGGCTCATGGCTGCCACACGTCTGGCAGCGCAGGTTGAGTCCTCTTTAATAGCTTTTCTCCTTCGTGAGCACTGTAGATAGATTGGCACTTTACTTTGCAATAACAGGGAGTATAGTCTACAGCACGCTGATTCAGGGTCAATGTTTTGTTCCTTAGCAACATCAGTGACTATGCTGGTTGAGATATTCCCTCCAAATTAATAATTCATAACACTAATACATTTAATTTGGATTAAACTGTCATGCGAGCTTAAAGCTGAATGGTAATTATACTTAACGCTTCCAGGCTCGTCACAGCACAAGTGGCTGCGAGCGTTAATGAAGCAGCAGAGAGCTCAAACTGTTTCTGTCTTCACTTTAAATAGAGTGATTGTGAAGAAGTATGCCAGTGCATTATTTAGACATTTTTAATTAACAATATTGTAAGTTACAGTTATACATAATTCACTGCGCATCACCAGTCCCCTACTTCAGTTATAATTGCGATTGCTGACAGCTTTATGGCATTTGCTGCACCATTATTAGCAAATAATAAAAGAACAGAAAAGGACAAGCAAGATGATACACACTCTCTCTCTCTCTCTCACACACACACACACACACACACACACACACACACACACACACACACACACACACACACACACACACACACACACACACACACACACACACACACA